TTTGAAAGAACAATTGGATGAGTGGATCCAACAGGGGACTATAGAACCTGCAAATAGTCCCTGGGCATCGCCACTAGTTCCTGCGAAGAAAAAGGATGGGAGGACAAGATGGGTGACTGACCTGAGGCAGCTTAATGACGTCACAATCAAGGATGCTAATCCCCTGACAAATATCCAGGAAAATCTGCAAAAGTTGAAGGGTGCAAAAATCTTCACTTCAATTGACGCCTGCGGGGCATATCACGCAATACAGATAGAAGAGGGGAGCAGGGATTGTACAGCTTTTATCAGTCCTTTTGCCACATTTCGTTATATAAGGATGCCGTTTGGCCTGTCAAACGCCGGAAGCCTATACAGCTGGATGTTGGACCTAGCCCTGGTGCACTTACCTGTGGAGTACTGGCTATCATATTTAGACGACATCCTGGTCTACTCCAAGGATACCTGGGACCACTTGAAGCATCTAAAGAGTATCGTGGAGGCTCATACGAAGGCAGGAATCAAGATTCAACCTAAGAAGACCAAGATTTTTCAGACAGAAACCAAATATTTAGGACAAAAAGTGAGTTAGGGTGGAGTACAGCTTTGACCAACAGGATGAATAGTCTTAAGAAGGCGGAGAAATTTGTATGGACGGAAGATATGGAGAAGGATTTCCTGGAGTTGAAGGGGGAGTTTTCAGCAGGGCGGATACAAGCTTATCCAGATTTTGATTCGGATGAACCTTTCATCCTCACTACGGACTGGTTGTCTTTAAACATTACGGGAGTTTTTTTCCCAGAAACAAGAGGGAGTAGAACCTTTTCTGGGTTGTTGGGGGCGGAAGTGTAATCGTTATGAGAGACACTACTCCAGCGCCAAAGGGGAGCTCCTCGCCCTGGTGAAGTGTATGAAGAAGTGGGAACATATTCTGAAGTACCGGCCCCCTTTTCTAGTCTACACCGATGCTGCTAGTTTGAAGTATATCGTGAACTTGAAATCAGAAGAAACTATCTTTCAACACTGGTATGCAAAACTGGCTCAGTTTGAGTTCATTGTGATACACAAGAAAGGAAGTGAGAACGTTAATGCAGATGCTTTGTCCAGAGCCAAACATTTAGATGAGCCAACAACAGAAGAAAACGAAGAATATCAAGAAGCCAACAAAGTAGGAGAGATGAAGATAACCTTTGCATCGGAACTGGAAGGAAACCCTGTAGAAATAGGAAAGGGAGGCGGAAGTTTGCCGGATATCCGCCTGCTATTCACAACCTAAGTAATGAGACAAGATTCAAGATAATAGAGGGATTCCAACTGAGGCAGCTACAGGAAGAGGATGTAGTGTGGAAGGACGTGATCAAGTGGATCGTAAATGGCAATGTGCCCAAGATGCAGGAAGTGAGGGAAGAAATACAGGAAGTGATATCAGTGAGACAGATATTCAATCCTACCCTGTTTGTAATGCATAATGGAATACTATGTTATAACCGTCACACAGATCCAGCCAAGGCATAGGATGCTTTACGTGTTTGTGTACCAGCAGTGAAATTAGAGGAAGTGTTCAAGATTTGTCACAAGGGCGTGGCTGGGGGACATAGAGGCATGGCAGGAACGTTAGACAAGTTTCAGAGAACATTCTTTGCAATGTCTGCACGTGAGAAAATCCGTAGACTGGTGGATCGATGTAACACCTTCTTAGCAAAGGAAAGGAATATTCAAGCCAAAAGAGGGCCTCACGTGCCTAGCACAGTGGGCAATGTAGGGGAGAAAGTATTTATCAACTTAGAATCGATGTCAGAAACCGTGAGAAAGAATCCTTATATGTTAATGGAATAGGATGGATTCACAAGGTTTGCTAGTGCATATCCTATTTGCAACAAGGAAGCAGGCACTGTGGCTAGAGTTTTGATGCATGAACATTTCAGTGTTTTTGGATTGCCGAACCAAATTCACTCCGAAAACAGAGCCAAATTTGTGAATAAGTTATGGGTCGAACTGTTTAGTGAATTAAAGATTTTGCATACAAGAACCCCCCTTATAACCCCTCATCTAATATTGTGGAATGATGGCATAGAACAAAAGTGAGTATTTTGAGGACGATGGACAGGGAGATGCAAAATGAATGAGACCTAGGTGTAAAAGCGGCTTGTCTGGCCTATAAAACTACAGTGCATAGTAGTACAGGCCAGACACTGTTCTTTGCAACCTTTGGGAGAGAAGCTATAGTTCCCATCCATTGGGTTTACCCCATACCCAAACTGGATGTTGAGAAGGATGTATCTGCCTGGACAGAAACTATACAAGAAAGGTTCCAAACTGCTTATGCTGGGATGAGAGAGAGACAACAACAGACAGTACGGAGGAACGCTCAATATTACAAACCCATCCTGAACCAGTTCAACATAGGCCAGTGGGTATGGATCTTTGATCCCAGTATAATTCCAGGCAGTTGTGATAAACTCAGGTCATATTGTGCGGGGCCTTACAAGATTGTAAGGTTAATGGCCCCAGTGTTGGCCGAAGTGATTGCAGTGTACGAACAGGGAAAACCAAGGAGAGTTAGTTTGGACATTCTCAAGGAATTTAGGGGGGAAAACAACGTGCACGGCCTACCCAGTGACCCCCCACACCCCTCATTTCAAGGAGGAGACGAGATTACAGAAATTCCGAGTTCAGAGTTAGAGCGACCGATAACAGAAAGAATTAAGAGCCAAGAGAGACAGATGGACAGAAGAGAACGAGGCCTTAGGGACAGGAAGGAAACAGCTGGTCAGACAGAACCACAGGAGATTAAACAGACTGACCGTGAGACCCAGATAACATCCAGCTGTGAAGAGACAGGGGGGGTGCACACCCCACCCTAGACTTGGACGAGGAGGTGGAAATGCAAGGCGGAGACGAGAGAGAGGCAGAGCACCAGCCCAATACCAGATTAGAAAACCCAGAGGAACCGACCCTGCTAAACCCAACCCACGAGAACGAGATAGACATGCAGGAGGGGGGCGCAGGGGTAAAGAGGGGGACCATCAGAGTGCGTAGAAAACCCTGGCAACGTCAAATTGAGAAGAAGAGAAGGGATAAAGCGCGGTTTACGAGATACTATGCCGGTGAGTTATGAAGAGTATGATACCAGCTGGGATCTTGAGGACCAATCAAAGAGATGTAAGAGGTCCGTAAATTGCTTATTGGTCAGCTGCAGATGTAGGAGAGAGACCGCCGCGATTGAACCAATCAGGAATGAGAGTGGAGATGACGTCAATACAGTGGAATCCAGCCGGAACCTGACCATGCCGGTACATGTATTACCTGACTCGGCTGCGGAACAAGGCAGGCAGGCCAGGACCAAAGACACATATGTGACGGTAAAACCAGTCTTGATACCAGACCCTAGTAGCAACGATACCAGCCGGTACAGCATTACCGCTGCGGGGTTGAGCACAGATACAACTGTGGCCAGTTCAAATCATACACAAGACATAGTTAGTCAGTCAACAAGGAACACGAGGAGGCGTAACAGGTCATGAAGTAGCTCTCTGTTTCGTACAGGTTTAATGCTTTTGTTTATGTTCCTCTCTAACACATCTACAGAGTGTTTTAAGGATTGGAGCGAACAAACTCATCAGATGTCTACACCCGACTGCAATCTCCAACCACAGGTGCCCAGCTACATGATGTCAGGAAAAGAGCTGTTTCCTTCCCATGAAATGAAGGGTAACTTAACCAGAAACCAAGGAGTTGTATTGCAATACAAGGGAGGGTGATGTTCACAAGGTTAGAGATACAAACCTAGCTGGAGTCTGTCTTGAGGAAAAGCTATCAACGCTAGAGGTCTTACACCAACAGTTTAACGTGATGTCGGGAAAAGAGCTGTTTCCTTCCCATGAAATGGAGTGTAACTTAACCAGAAACCAATGAGTCTGTAATATAAGGGAGGGAGATGTGCACAAGGTCAGAGATTCAAATCAAACTGGAGTTTGTCCTAAGGGAAAGCTATCACTGCTAGAGTTTCTACACTGACAGTCTAACGTGGAAGGACTTCAAACTAGATGTGCTTACCAAGATCAGCATGGAGTTAGAGGTTACGATGTTGTTCTTCAACCCGTTGATGTCATTCAGTCAGTACCTGTAGTGGGAAGTGTCCGCAGATGTCAACCTGGGGTTATAGATTACGAGGTTGCCAATGTTACTGTTCTAGACCCAGGGTAGTTCAAGGTCAGACCCAGGGTCATCCCAAATCCAGCTGTAGCGACTGATGACGGATGCTGGAGATCTATGATGTCGAGAGATCGTTAGCCAACGAACGATAACTCTCGACACCGTTCCCCCGGGGATTTGTAGCATTCTCTGTTGTAATGTCTAGTACGATTATCTATGTTAGTAATATATCTTTACTATTTCAATGTTGACCCTGACTGGCCATTACGGTCAGTTTGATTTACCTGTATATAAAATAAATTAGTTCAATACGAATTGTTGATTTACACGGGCGTATACAGAGCCTTGAGTTTTGGCTAGAGATTGGAAGCCTTGAGTTTTAGCTAGAGATAGAGTCAGTTAGATTCTAAATTAGACTTTGAGTTGAGTTATCGTTGAGTTATCTCGGGGCTAGATTTCTTACAGACCCTCGTCAGTTCTGACAATATAATCACCATCAAAATCGATAATAAAAAAACAACCAAAAGAAAATAAACAAACAATAAAGATTATGTGTAATATATTCATCATTTATTTGTCTAAAGCAAAATTATGCTAAACGATATAAAAGTTTACAATTTAATATTAATACTCTTTTCTCTGGATATCGCATTTTATGATTGACAGGGTTTGCCAAAAAACAGGTGCCATACAAGACTTTTAGCATGAGTATAGTTTAGTTATTCAGATATTAACAAAATCTGTTTACACTGTTTCTATGTGTACTCTACCGACTTTAATCTTTACCCGTACTGGTTCGACTAGCGGGGGCGCACACGCGCATTGAGCGCTTCTTAGAAATTACAATTTAGTTGCTCAGAATTCGAGTTAACGTGCATATCACATTGAATGCTAGTATTTTTCATTTAATTGTTATAAAGTGACTTTATAAACTTAGAAACTAACAATGTGAAAACCACAAAAATGTTGTAAAAATTAAAGTATCGAAGTGAGATTTTTATTAATAAAAAAGAATGAAAAAGAAACCATACAATTCTTCAATGAAGGTGAGCATGACAAGTCTGAATATAAGATCAATGTTTATATAACTGTGCATCGGAAAAACACTTCAGAATTTGACCAAAAATAAAAAAATTTACATTTTTTATCGTTATATGTAAATTCAAAATCCAATTATGTTGCTTAATTGTTTTCTTTTTCAAGAGAGAAGTCTTTTTGCGATTTTTTATTCCAATTTTTTTCTTGGTTTAAAATGAACATGCACCTAGGGTATTTATTATCACTGATTTGTAACCTCGTAGATTCTCTAGTTTTGATTTTATAAACAAGGAGGAAAAAGCAAATTTATTTTGTCACATATTAGAAATTCAAAACATTTTCTGTTTTCTTATTAACAATCAACTTTTAGGAGTGATGATTTGAAATATAAAATATTTCAATTTTATTTCAGTTTTCTTTGTAAATCATTTGTTTGGCTAAATGTGATAAAATGCTGTGTGAAAACTCTCGAATATTTCGATTTATATTGTTTTATTTAATTTGGGGTTTTTGGCAGATAATAAACAGGTCAATAGTTGATCTTATAATAGTTTAAACATCTGCATTGATGTTGTTTTAGAACTGGATTTTTAAATCCTTTAAGGAGGTCAAATGAAGAGGTCAAAAAGTGCAAAATATTTAGATATTTTAGACCGCTATACTCTGAAAGGTTAAATATATTTTAGGAGGTCAAATATATGTACACATTATCTGATATTTTAGACCTCTATTTTAGAAGGTCAAATATATGTACAAATATTCTGATATTTTAGACCTCTATTTTATAGGAGGTCTAATAAATGTACAAATATTCAGATATTTCAGACCTCTATTTTAAAGGAGGTCTAAGAAATGTAAAAATATTCAGATATTTTAGACCTCTATTTTAGGAGGTCAATTATATATACAAATAGTTTGATATTTTAGACCTCTATTTTAAGAGGTCAAATAAATGTACAAATATTCTGATATTTTAGACCTCTATTTTAAGAGGTCAAATAAATGTACAAATATTCTGATATTTTAGACCTCTATTTTATAGGAAGTCAAATATATGTACAAATATTCTGATATTTTAGACCTCTATTTTGGGAGGTCCAATATATGTACAAATATTCTGATATTTTAGACCTCTGTTTTGGGAGGTCAAATATATGTACAAATATTTTGATATTTTAGACCTCTAATTTAAGAGGTGAAATATATGTACAAATATTCTAATATTTTAGACCTCTAATTTAGGAGGTCAAATATATGTATAAATATTCTGATATTTTAGACCTCAACACTGACGCGATCCCGGACATATATAGTAGTTCCAAGGGACGTTCCACCAGAGAACTTTATCAGTGTAACAGAAACTAGAAAGGTAAGATAATAATAATAATACTAATACTAATAATAATAATAATAATAATAATAATTATAATAATAATAATAATAATAATAATAATAATAAAAATTGATCTATTACTAATGATAATAATAGTAATTATAATAAGAATAATGGTTATAATAATAATGAGTGGTAGCTATAGATGAAAAGATTGTACATGAGTGTATACACTGGACAATGAAGTATGACAACAATGTCAAATCTTATCGATGGATTATTGTTTGTCGTGATTCAGTCTTAAACCAAATCCAACCCATAGAGAATAGAATATATAGAGAGGAATTTAATGGAAAAAAGTGTAAAACGGCCATTTTGTTGTACTGTTTCCATACTGCAGGTGTACTTCACATATTTATGCTATATAACCTTTTGGGCCCTGGAATATCATTATATAGAAAATCTAAAATTATTGTTAAAAGAAAACAAAATTATGAAATAGGCTGGTTTCATAATTGACCAATGATCATTTCACATAGACTCTATGCCTTCCACTTTACAAACGATGATTTTCCGTTATAACTATAAATCAAATGATGTTGTTATTCACCAGTTTAAAAAATTCGAAATTGAAATGAATAGTCTAGGGAACATACTGTATTAATGTACTCTACTGCATATAATTTGTGTACATTTACATGATTTGTACACTTTGAACTCCCTTTCAGGTTGAAAGGGACTGAAAAAGTTCATACCGAGATATTCTTTTAATTACTCTCTATATATTCTATTCTCTATGATCCAACCACATTATCCAGGCTCAATATATAGTTGTTAATATATCAGGGGCGGAAAGTTCCGGCACATTGTTTGGTCAATACCTGACACTCAGTGTTATAGATTTAAATTAGATTAGCAGATTACTTTTTCATGATTTGTTTTAAACATACTGATATGTTCAAAAAAAAGATAATATTTGATTTTTTTACTTACCGAAAACCTTGCATTAAAAAAATAAATTGTTTAAAATTACAACTTTATTTTAAACCCTGGAACAGTGTCAATTCTGAGTTATTTGCACGGTTTGGAACCAGAGCCTTGAGTTTTGGCTAGAGA